AATAACTGCAACAGAGAAAGAAAGGCAAAATACAGCAGCAATTCACAAACAAACAACAACGACAACAGCAACAACTTCAACTGAAGCAGAAGCAACAATAAGAAAATAGGAAAATAAATAGGGATATCAGTAGCAACATCGACAACACGCCAGCTTTCTTACCTTTGATATATTTTAGGGGGATCTCCATTCGAGAAATGGATGACTTGATAAGCGCTAGCATTGCGATAGTCTTTGGTCACAACCAGTCTAGCTATGTAGATATCACTGTGAGAAATAGCCTCTGTATTCAAGTAAACTCGCACGCCAGATGCTCTTCTATTATATTGAAAAGCTGACTCGTTTACCGCAATAAAGAAGTCTCTCTTCCTTCCCTGCATGGAGGAGTAATTCCTGGTAATCTCACCATAATGCCATGTAAAGTTCATTCCCGATTGGTCACCATGTGCAGCCTCAGGGTCATATGAGAGTGAGCCATCCAATGTGATGTTTTCTTTGAGTCCTCGAATCACCTCAGCTCCGCCAGAAATGACTGCAACAAGGTCCTGCGTCTTACCTAAAAGGCGTTGTAACAAAAAGCAAAAGTTTGTTACTTTTTAAACTTAGTTTACTGTTAACCAGAATGGTTCTGCTTTGTCATCAGTGTGCCTCGACAAAGATGAAGTAGCCATTGCAAGACACATTCAGATTGCTTTTCCAAAATTTCCAACGCAACTTTTTTCTTTAGATTGGCATATAATAGTAAACAGAACAGAGTTCCTAAGATTTCTGTCATGGAATCATTGTAAAATTACCTCAAGAAATACCCCTTACTCAAAATACTCAATACTCAAAAGAGTTTCTCTTGTATACCCGTTTATGTTCGGTTATGAAACTAGCCACAATAGCGTTTTTCAGAAACACGAATTAGACTACTGGATACTGTCTTTCCCACACTTTTAAGACAAAGCCCTCGCTACAGAAAGGGGTGGCGTAAAAGCTGAAAAGATGCCAAGTGAAATCGGAAAAAGCCTAACTTTCGGAAAATAAGCAACCTTCAGTTGTTGATGATGATAATGAAGTCGGTGTTGGTAAAACTGTCATTGTTGTCGATACTGTCCATGTTGGTAATCCTGTGTAGGTTGGTGATGCTGTGTATGTTGGTGATGCTGTGTATATTGGTGATGCTGTCCATGTTGGTGATGCTGTCCATGTTGGTGATGCTGTGTAGGTTGGTGATGCTGTGTAGGTTGGTGATGCTGTCCATGTTGGTGATGATACTGTTAATGATTCTTCTGATGACGAAAGGATGGGAAAAAAAAAAGAAATATTAACATTTATCTAATTACTTTGAAAAGCCTCCTCTCTTCTTTGAAGACAATACCATACACGTCTTTAATATGAATATGAGACAATTTAAATAAAGGTTAATAGCGACTAATTAGTATTATAAAGGAATGGCGCACATATTGTTCGAAGTAAAAGAAATAAAAATACAAGGTCAACAAGGCTTAGTTAATTCCATGACTAACTTTCACCAAAGAAGGCTGAGAGCCAAAGAAAGAGGGCTAACTACGAACTCTCAGCTCGTAAGAACATACAGGTAGATAGGCAACCGCTAAAAGGAAAGCGCTCGGCGAACAGTGTGAAAAAAACAGTGAATAGCCGAATGAAGGAATGAATTTTCGACCTTAAAGAGCTTATTTATACACTTGCAAATAAAAGCGATGGAAAATATGTCAGTATGTTCTCTGACTCTTAAAAAGCTAGCTGTAACAATACAGGAAGCAGAAAAAAGCCTAGGACGCAAAGAGCGTCGACGCACTTTAAAATTTAGCCTTTTAGGTAAAGATGGGGAGACAAAAGAAAAATTCCGAAAAAAATTCTCAAACTGTCAACTCTCTGAAAGTCAATCAGCGTGCTATCAAAATGTCTTAAACTCATCCCAACACCCGTGACAAACGAAAGTAAAATTAGGCAACAACTCTTGCGAGATTATGAAAAATTCGGGAGACGCGTACGCCTCTACATCTTTCACGGACAAAACAAAGAAACGCACCCATTTTGTGTTAAATCAAACTAGATGTCATCGGTTCAGCCCTCTATTGTCCTTGAGAGCTACTTAGAAAGTGTCAAAGCACAACTTGAAGAGGTTACTGTAACTAAGCCAAAACATAATTTGTAACGCAATGAGGTCACAGCTCTGCAAGAGTTGAAAAACAACTCTGCTTTAAACCTCAAAAAAGCAGACATATCTTAACAACAGTCATCACAAATAAGACAAAAAGATAGAGGACGTCAAAATTGCAACGCGACAGTAGAGTAGTAGAATTCACTACAAACCTCTCAGAGCACCATTAGTAAAAAGCACGCGGAAAAGGTTTAATGAGATCATTAACCAAATCGGGGCAAAAACATTGATGACATGACTAAGAAATGGCTTCTCAAACTCCCAATCCGCTCAGAATACCAATATTATATACGCTCACGAAAATACACAAACCTATACCGGTCGATAGACCTATGATCTCAGGTTGTGACGGCCTTACTGAGAGAACATTAGCCTTTTAGGAGACGCTACTCCAGCTTATCGCACAACTGTTTCCATTTTTAAGTTTAAATCGTTTTATCCGCTCCTTTTTATACAACAGCCACTGAAAAAGCTTACTTCCGTCGCCTACTATGAAAACAACGTTCGAAGTCCAATCAAAATATACCCAATCATTGCACTTGATAAACATTTGGTAATTGCTTGGATTGTATTCCACCAATAAAATTCCATTTGGCCTC